TCACTAGAGACTGTTGTGTGACAAAATTCTACTTGAATCTTTATGAATTTTAAGTTATACGCTTGGAAGACTTGAGTTGTGTGACTAAATTCTACCATAATCTTTATGAATTTTAAGTTTTAAGCTTAGGGAAGGTGATTGATAGTGCTGAAGTTTGTAGTGCTCTATATTCTCAAGAACACTCCTTCAAATAAACAAGTTCTCAAGTCAAGTTATGTTTTCAATTATGGTTTTAATTTTGTTTCAATTCTATTTCTGTTTCGACTCACTATTGCAAAAATTGGTCTACGCGGCCCGCCTAGACCCTACCAAGCTTCTAGGCGTCCCTAGACCGTGGCGATTTCTCACCTAGGCCCCGCCTAGGCGCCTAACTTGGCCGCCTAGCGCCTAATTAGGCCTAGTTAACTCGTCCATTTCGGTCGAGTTAACTCGTCGACTTGGCCTTGCTAATTATATATATATATATATATATATATATATATATATATATATATATATATATATATATATATATATATATATATATATATATCCTTGGACTGAATTATCCTTTAGAAAACGGCATTAGATGGTCAAGTTTAACGAAAGGACCATAGATGGCTTGAAACAAAAAGTAAGAGGACTAAAAGTGGTTGATTTAAAAGTTGAGGACTAAAAGTGACAGTGCCACCAAAGTCGGAGGACCTCCGCCGGTATTTACTCATATATATATATATATATATATATATATATATATATATATATATATATATTTTAGTTAGTCGCATAGGCACCCGCCTATACTGTCTAAGCGCTAGGCGCTGCTCTATCGCCCTACTAGCGCCTACTACAACCATGATTTCTAGTGAGAGTCTAGTTATGTTGTGATATTTTCATCATAGACATCAAAATTTTAATTATCTTGAAAGGTTATGATAATGAGGTCATGATGATCTGATTTACAAACAAGTGGAAATGATATGTGATAATGTATATGTAGTAACTAACATAGCAAATAATATTCTACTTTGTGAAAGTTAATAAAGAGCTGATTAATATAATAATTAAATATATAGAAACAAAAATCAAATGACATTTCACATGGTGAATATATTGTATATGGATGGCAATGAGTCGAGGTCTCGAGAAGGATTATATCCACCACTCGATCTATCTTATATTTCCTCCACCCATCCGTGGAACTTTTCAAAATCTACCTCACCCCACCCCACTAGTGGATACCCATCACTTGTTATTTTATCTTTAAAAAAAAATAAATAATATTTAAATTACTTACACATAATAATAAAATAATAAAATTCACTAGTTATATTAAAACATAAAATAATAAAAATATTCAAATATAATAACGAAATAGTTAATTTTTAAAATAAATATATTATTTAGAACTAAAAAAATAATAAAAAATTAGCAAAAGTTCTAGCACTTATTTTACTATTAATTTTATAGGCAAGTGGACTGGGTGGGGTTCTAGGCAGGTTTTGTACATAAAATACAAATCCTACCGACACGGGTTTAATTTTTTAAGACTCACCCCTGATCCACCAACCACTATCACCCAAAAAAATCTGATCCATGTGAGGTGGATTTGGGTGGATATCCGCGATGCGGATTGAAATTGTCATCCCTAATATATGTGTTAATTTTAGTCACATTATTATAGAAATAGAACTCTACATTGTTTAATATACATAGGTTATTGAATAACCACTGTATATACACTAAGGGTGTGTTTGGTTGATGGGTTTTGCCCATAGAAATGGGTATGAAAGTGATTGTTATTGTTTGGTTGATAGGTTTTTAGAACACTACTATGGGTTTCGAATACCCCATCAATTGAAAAATTCATACCCAAATAAAATAAGGGCTTCATGTCTTTATTCATTCTCAAGCATTACTATTAGTAACCATTCCCATTCCACCCTACTACCAAACATGTTAAATACTTTCACCAAAATCCATTACCATTACCAAGTATTTGATACACATTCCAATTCCGATTCCCATGTGCGAACCAAACACACCCTAAGAGCATCTTCAATAGTCTTTAGGTTTTTGTGGTTTTTGAGGTTTCAATTAGAAAAGAGATAGGAGGGCAAGAAAAAAAAAAGAGAAAGAAAAAAAAAAACAAAAAAATAAAAATAAAAATTGACAACAAATTTGAAAAACAAAGCGAAAATAAAAGCAGTGAAATACGCGCCCAGTAGGCGTGTGTATAGCACGCGTCAACTGGGCCCACTTCTTGCAACCACATGACTTCGACTGTCTTTATTTTCCATTTTCCCTCTCCTAGTAGGTCCATAAAAAATCAAGAATTGCAAGTGAAAAAACTAACAAAAAATCACTCTCCATGTTTATTAAAAACTTATCTTAAAATTTTTTACTGTTCTAAAAATCATGAAAAAATCCTTATTGGGGATACTCTAATATGTTAGTAATTTTTTAAAAAAAATATGAAGTGTGTACATTAACTTTTGTAAAAACCATCATATATACTCTT